CCCTCTCATCATGAACAAGAGGGTCTGTGTGCAGATTGCAGCTGGCTGCTGGGTGACAGGCTGCCTCGCTGCCCTGGTGGAAACAGTGCCTGTGCTGCAGCTGTCTCTCTGTGATCACAGTATCATCAGTCATTTCTCCTGTGAAATTCTGGCTGGCCTGAAACTTGCTTGGTTAGACACTTCCGTGGTACAGTTAATTATGCTGGTGATCAGCGTGCTTCTTCTTCCCATGCCAATGATGCTCATTTGTATTTCTCTTTTCTTTGTGGGTAGGGTGAGGTACTAGGGATTAAGCCCAGAGGTGCTTAACCACTGATCCACATCCTCAGTCCTTTTTATTTTTTATTTTGAGACAGGAGCTTACTAAGTTGCTTAGGGCCTTGCTAAGTTGATGAGGCTGGCTTTGAACTTGCAATCCTCCTGTCTCAGCCTCCTGAGCTACTGGGATTACAGGTGTGCTCCACTGAGCCTGGATTTTTTTTATCTCATATATTTGTCCTCTCCAACATCCTGACAATCATCTCAGTGGACTGCCTAGGCAAAGCCTTTTCAATCAGGTGTAGCCCACCTGATTGTGGTGGTTCTATTTTATGGGGCAGCTCTCTGCATGAACCTAAAACCCTTGGCTGTAAATTCACAGGAAATAGGTAAATATTTGGTTTTATTCTCTATGATTTTGACTCCCATATTGAAATGCAGTCATTCACAGGAGAAAAACAGCTGTGAAAAATTGCTTATTAAAACTGTTTTTGTGTTTTCTTAATCCCTGTGATAAATAAAATTGATAAAAATTAATATAAAGGGGGTTTTGTGGTCAGTGTATCCCAAAACATTGACATAATTGGAGAAGACACTTATTTATTGATTTTATATATTTTTAGTTGCCAATGGACCTTTATTTTATTTTGTTTATTTACATGTGGTGCTGAGAATTGAACTTAGTGCCTCACATATGCCAGGAAAGCACTCTACCACTGAGCTCTGACCCCAGTCCCCCAAAGACACTTAATTAAAATAAGATGTGCAATTTCCTTAGTCCCTTGTTTGACTATTAAAACTCTTAGATGATGTAAAGCCATCATATATACATCTATCTGAAATTTTTATACAAATAATCTAATAACAAGAAATTCTTTTTTTGTTATAAAGAATAACAAATTAACTTTAAATATTGTTAGTAACTGTTGATTCACTCAAACTTTTACACATGTAATATGAAAATGTAATTACTCTAGTAGGTAATTGACTGATTTATAATTAACCTGCTTTTCAGAATGGCTAAATTTAATAGAAACGATCACATATTCTATGAATGGGTGGCTATGTTTTACATGTGTGAATCGTTTTTTCCTGGGATGAATATGTGTGATGTGAATGCCTTGGAGTAGAGGAGGGCCTAGCAGGAAAACAAAATCAGAGTTCAGCAGTATGTTGCTGATCTCAAGTTGACATTATATTATATGTTATGCTTTGAACTAAGGCATCATTAACCAAGCAATAAAGCCCTGATCATGTATTTCCACAGATAAAAATACCGACATGCATAAACAAACAATAACAGGCAGAAGAGTGAACAAGATGAGAGGGTTGTAAACTGCAGAACAAGGATTAGGAGGATATTTTATTCTTTTATCGTTTTATTTTAAGCTTAGGTCAAGAGCTTGACTGTTTCAAGTTTCTGGAAGAAATACCATGTGTAGCCTCTTTGAATTGAAAAGGTACAAGTTCATTTAGGAAAACCTTTGTTGAAAGAGCTTTTATTCATTCAAAAAATGTTTAATGAAACTTCTTTATGTGTTGGTCTATGATGCTAAGGTACAGAAGAGGGCATTTTGTGAGATGGAACTCTGGACATATATCTGTCTCTCTGTCATGGTGATATAAAAAAAATTAGAAAGTTTTCATATGATCTTTAAATTGAGCTATAAAGGGGTAACAGATTTTGGTATGCTGAAAAATGAGTAAAACTTATTTTTGTTTGTTAACAAATTCACAAAGGGAAGATCTTTTTAAGACTACTAACATTTATTTAGGGATAAACGTGAAATGGCTTCTTGAGGCCAGATTGTTGAGTTTTGTAATACAGACAATGCAAGTTTAGGTTTTATTTTGTTGATAATAAAAGCTAGTGGAGATTTTGTTGCACTCTAGTACATAGATCACATTGTGTTCTTAGGTTACAAAGACTGATCTTGTGATAAAGACTGCTTTTATGGTAGTATGGAATATTTGTCAAAAACAGGAGAGATAAGTTAGTGTAACATTGCAAGAGTCCAAAAAGGGCTAATGAATAGTTAAACAAATCAAAATCTCACAGTTTTGGATGCTGACGGCCTGTGAACAAGTTCTTGGCAAGGTTATGATCCTTTAGCAGGTGCTAGGGAAGAGACTGTTCCAGGCCTCTCTCTTAGGTTTTGGTAGTCCTTTGAGTTACAGAAAATCCATTATGATTTCAGATGACAGTTTTGTTTGTTTGTTTGTTTTTTAGTGCTGGGGATTGAACCCAGGGTATCACAATCTGACATAATGGTGAGAAAGAAGTAAAATATGACTTCTATTACTGTGAACTTTATGGTACTATCTTTTTAAAAATAATTCCTAAAGGCCTTTTTAAAATTTAATTTAATTTTTTTATTTATATATGACAGCAGAATGCATTACAATTCTTACTACATATATAGAGCACAATTTTTCATATCTCTGGTTGTATACATAGTATATTCACACCAATTCGTGTCTTCCTACCTGTATTTTGAATAATAATGATCATCACATTCCACTATCATTAATTACTCCATGCCCCCTCCCTTCCCCTCCAACCTCTCTGCCCTATCTAGAGTTCGTCTATTCCTCCCACGCTCCTGCTTCCTATATCACTATGAATCAGCCACCTTATATCAAAAAAAAAAAAAAAATTCAGCATTTGTTTTGTTGGGATTGGCTAACTTCTGTGATACTATCTTTAATAGTTAACTTTATGTGTCAACTCAGTTCTGGTTCTTTAGTGGAGATTTGTATTTAGAAACCAAGATTTGGTACAAGGTGCATAATAGTTGTTGGAATGGCATTCCTCTCAGGCCATATCAGTGAATCATATTAAAGTCTAGGGAATAAATTTATTTTATACATATATACATACATGTACAAACACATATGCATACCTACTGATAGGCATAATAATTTCCATAGTTTTATCTGCTATAGTTTCTCTATTATCTTTCTCCAAAAGAGAAAAACCATACATTTACACTGATACTTTTAATTCTAAGTCAATACCACAGTTTTCTTCCTTTCCATATTTGTATCTCCTCCTCTGACAGTGAGAAACCTGTCATTAACCTAGTATGTTTACTTGTTGCTCATTTGAGTCTCTGTGTGTAACTGACTTACCATTTCTTTTGCATCCCCATGAGGGTGTCCTTCACATTCTGCTCTGCCAACACTGACCTCAATCTCAACTTGCTTGTGTTTTGACACTTCAGTCAAGGTTGTCCCACTTCACTCTTATCTGGTTCTGACTGCCTTGACTGACTGGAACAAGTAAGGATCTCTCCTCTACACCATTGTGTTACGAAAGCCCTTGCTAAGTGGTCTTTGAGCATGGAGGCCCTCAGCACCCAGCTCAGGCTGGGACACTGTGCCAGGCAGCTCAAATTTATTCCATAAAAACATATGACATGATATAGTTTATAAAATACAATTATATATTATTACTCAGTAACCATTTTGAAGGTTTTTTTTTAAATGAAAGGAAAACATTTAAAATGAGACAATACATTGCTTCCAAAAGAATGAAATTGTCAGTTTCCTTGAAGAATTTATACCATTGATTTATTTTTTTAGCAGTTGATAAATAAAGAAAAATATACACTTTGACTTTTGTCTTACCCAGCCCAGATGACCTCTTCAGTATGTTTTATTCAATCCTTTATCTTTCCCTATATTTAAAAATTACTTGAAACTTTATGTTAACTTTTAAAAGTATAGTTTTTTGAAAGAAATAATATCTAAAGTCTAGTTCTCTGAACTCTTTGTGTTAAATCTGGTACTTAGATTACATTTACTGTCCTTTTAAAATTTTAATTGATTTATTTAATAGTTAATTACTGCCAACTGCTTTTAATTAATTGACATTGGACTTCGTACAGGGCACAGTGGGCCATTGTTCGGCCTTTGGGAGGATTTCAGAAACTGACAAATGATTATAACATGAAGGGAAAGTCTCTGTAGTGAAGAGAAGAGTCAGGGCAGCATAAAATAGGAAATAAGTTTTGGATATTGTTGCAGAGGATATGACACAGCCTATCTTTTCTGAGATGTTCAGTATTTTATGGGGGAAGGAGAACTGTGAAAATGCAGATGAAATACTATGTGCAGTTGTCTTTAGATGTGAAAGAAGATGATGTAATTGGGTAACTACAAAGTAAAGGGAACCTAACATGTGCATAGGGGGTTGTGTGGGACACTAACAGGGAAAGAGAAGGTGAAATATAATGTTTCAATTAAGACCAGGGTCAGATCAAGTCACTGGATAAAATAAAAAGCAAGAATAAAACCAAACCAAACCAACCAAAAAGCATTAGTTTTCTAAAAAAGAAGTCTGAAAAAATGTGGCTTAATTCTTAAGTAAACACATGGGCTGGATTTGCTCATGATGATGGAGTACCATAGGGAGTTGCAGATTCCCAGGTCACTGTCACAGACCATCACTCTAAGAGCAAGAGAAAAAACACATCTAGCAAAAAGCTTAATTAAATTTTTTATTGTCTTCAAATATCTATTCTTACTTCTCAGACCAATTATTCTTGTATTTTATGAGATCACATTTTCATAAAGTAATATAATTAGATTATTAATCACATTTCTTTCTAATTGCAATTCTATGACTCAAGAGGCAATCTTCATTTCTTTTGCTTATATTCATAATCATTGCTTTGCATTTATGATCTTACTTTGTACATAAGCTCAAAAGTGTCAGTGTGTCATTATTTTCTCTAGAATCACTGCCTACTCATCAATTTTCTCATAGCTCCATGCACCTCTGCATTCCTCAGGCTATAGATGATAGGATTGAGCATGGGGGTGACAACGCCATAGAACAGGGCAATCAGCTTGTTAAAAGCAGAGTCTTTTGACTTTGGCTTCATGTACATGAAGAGTATTGTCCCGTAAAACACAATCACCACTGTCATGTGGGCTGAGCAGGTAGAAAAGGCTTTTTTCCTTCCTTCAACTGAATTGATTCTTAGTACAGTAGAAAGGATGAAAATGTATGAGATACATATCAGCAATAATGGAGAAAACAAAAATATTATATTGCCCAACATTATAACAATCTCATTCAAGGAAATATCTGTGCAAGCCAGTTTGACAAAGGCCAGTATTTCACAAACAAAATGATTAATGATATTTTTTCCACAGAACGGCAACCGTATTGCAAGAACAGTTTCTATCAATGAGTTGAGAAGTCCTAAACTCCAGGAGAGAGCTGCCATCTGAATACAGAGTGCCTTGCTCATGATGATGGAGTACCGCAGTGGGTTACAGATTGCCACATAGCGGTCATAGGCCATCACTGCTAAGAGAACACACTCTGTGGATCCCATAGTGTAGGAGACAGACATTTGAATAACACATCTAGTGAAAGAGATCGTTTTTTTCTCTGATAGGAAGTGTATCAGCATTGAGGGGATAAAGGAGGATGTGTACCAAATGTCTAGGAAGGAAAGATTACCAAGGAAAAAGTACATGGGCACATGGAGGCGGGAATCCAGGAGAGTTAGGATGATCAAAGTGCTGTTCCCCAGAAGGATTACCAGGTACATCACCAAGCACAACACAAAAAGAAGTTTTTCAATTCTTGGGTATTCAGAAAGTCCCTGCAGAATAAACTCAATCTCTGTCCAGTTGGTCCTTTCCATTTTACTTTCATATACCTGGAGTTTAACAAGTCTGTATAGGATTATCATATGAAGTGAGAGTTAATAGGGGCAGGAGGGGCAACAGGTGTATCAGCACCAATCGAAGTGGTGGTAATCGCCGTGATTTTAGCTTTTGGGAGGGATTCTTCTTCTAGTTCATAAATCAGTTAATTGAAGACACATGAGAATTACATTGGTAGCTTATTAAAAATGCAGGCTTCTGTATTCCATTTCCTGAGATTGTGACGCATGAGGATGGAGGCAGAGAAGAATCATTTGCATTTTTAATATGCATCTGTTATTTCGGATGCAGTTGATCCACAGACCCCACTCTGAAATTAATATTTTGGGGGAGAGTATGCTTCAATCTGTTCAACAAAGATTCATTTACTTGATTTTATATCATGCCAGTCATTAAAAATACTGTTGGTTTAAGATTCAATAAGTTACAAATATTCATACTTATTACTTATTTTATCATTGCTTTTGGTCTCTGGGGAAAATACAGCTAAGAGAAAAATTTATAAAAAGTTATACTGAGTGAACTGCTATATAAATCTTCATTTTCTGATTTTAAGTCCATTTTATAAAACTATAATATATTGTCCTCCCGATAGTTTAAAAGTTGACTAAAGGGAGGAAATTAGCTATTTGGAAAATAATGCTCTTCAGGTGATTTTTAAGGTGAAACTAAGGAAGAGATCTACTTATCCAGTGGAGTATTTCCAAACTTTAGTATTCATACGTGTCACCTGGGGAATCTTTTAACTGATTCTGATTCAGTGTATTTGAGGTAAGTCCTGTGATCTCCATTTATTAACATGTTCCCAGGTGATGTTCATGTTGCTTGTTTACAGAACATACCTGAGTATCAAGCCCTTTTGGACTGTCTTTCTCTAATACCATCAGAGTGCTGTTGCTGCTTCAGCTGTGTGTAAGCAGCTGGATAACAAGCACTGCTAAACTGAGCACTGTGGTAAGACTTCTGTCTGGTTAATGATAATCGATTCTGTGTTTTTTAGATTTCAGATGTACAGACAACCAAATCACACATTGATTGCAATCAAATTGCCTTTTATTTTTGTCCATATAAAATGTGTTATTTTTATACTTGTCAAATTTGCAGCTAGGTCCAGTATTTTCCTAAAGAAGGAATTTTTGTTCAGCTTAAGCACCTGAGTTGTACACCAAAGAACATGGAGCAAATTACTTCAATTTGAAAAAAAAAATTAAAAACTAGTTATTAGCAGGTCATCTTCTTTATAATAAACAAAGCATAGAAATATCATTTTGAAAGTACTTGATCATCCTCATGATATTCTACCTAGCTTTCAAATATATTCTAGAGAGTAAAAAATTTTAATGGATGAGTTTTCACTTAGTGTTTTCAAAACCTGGCTGTTTCTGGTAGAGGATTGTCTCAGATTGTGCTGCTTTCTTTCAGTTACAGTGGTTGGGCAATTTAATCACCAGAAAGGATGTTTGTATTTGTGTTGACATTGAAATGAGGACTCTCCTCCAATTCAAGCTACAACTTATTTTAAGCACATACATTGTAAAGAGGGTAGGAAGTGTTGGGTAGGGCAGCATATACTTCTTTTAGAAGTAAGATTGGAATTTGATTGATGGTATCTGCATATATCAACCTACTCTGAATGCCCATGAAATTCTGACAGAGGTTTTGACAGAGTATTAATTGTCTGGCAATTGGAATGAGGTTTTTGCAAGGAAGATGTAAATTAAGTAGAATGTCCTCTCTTTTCTAAGAACATCTCCTAAAAGTTGACTCCTATTTGAAAATTAATTTAAAAAATAATTACAGTAAATATTTAGTATTCTAGCAGTCCTGAGATTGTTAGGGCAATAAAAATTTCACTTGTGAATATATGTAAAAGAAAACATTGGTCTGCTTTGATGGTTTCAATGGGGGGGGATAATAGTATAGAGAAATGATTTGCATTACTCTTGCAATCCTTGGATAGCTTTTAAGAAGTAACATTTAACAAACACTCTGTTGAATAGAATTGTTCCTAACTTTTTATACTGAATTTAAATTTACTTCTCTAAAATGGATTCTTAGAATCTGTTTGGAAAGAGGAATTGAAGACTGTTAAGAGTCTGGATAGTTTCTAATAGATCACTTTCCTCATTACTTGTAGCATTAGATAAATTCATTTTTACCAGACCTTTGCTATTGTTGGATATTATCTTTCTCTCTCTCTTTCTTTTCTTTTTTTTTTTTTTTTGGTTAGGAGGATTGATCCCAGTGACGCTTAACCACTGAACCACATCCCCAGTCCTTTTTTATATTTTATTTAGAGACAGGGTCTCACTAAATTGTTAGGGCCTTGTTAAATTGTTAAGGCTGACTTTGAACTTATGATCCTACTGCCTCAGCCTCCTCAGCTGCTGAGATTAGAGGCATGTGCCATCATGCCCACCTGGTTATTACGTCTTAAAATATCTATTTTTGTATTTTCCTAACTCTAGGAGAATTGTTACATAAATTAAAGTTCATTTGTGTTATGGGCCACATTAAGCACTTATTTATGACATTTGTTTGGACTTTGTATTAACACAAAGGTAGTTTAGCTTAAGTTAAAATGATTAAATAAAAACAGAAACTAAATGACAATATAAAGTATTGTTTACAAAACACAACCCTAGACCAAGATAACTTAGGATACAAACGCTAGAAAGAAACATCTAAAAAGCTAATGGTTATCTTAGCATTTTTCCACTTTTCTGAAATATCTAAGATTTTAAAATAAATATACATAAAGTAAAAATATATCAAAAGAAGACACTGAAGCAAGTTTATAATTGTGCTTGAAAGACTAACTCAGAGTACAAAATGAAAAAAAAATTAACATTAGAGAGATTATTTTAGAAGTCTAGAGATTGCACATTGAGGCTGAATTATACTGGTGTTCTTTTTCCAGTTATCCAAAGAAGCCCATATTTCTTTGTACTGGACCTAAAGCATTTGTAAACCATATCCTCAGAATCTTCCAGGTAACAGTCTTCATTGTTTTCAGGGGGTACATCCAAGATAAAGAATTGAGTTTCTCAACTTAAATCATATGATCTCAAAAAGGTCTACAGACCATTGGTGCTTAGACCAGAATTATCACTAGAAGATGAAATTCATATTTGTAAAACACTCTGAACTGGCCTAATCCTGGGCATCCTCTAATCCCTTCTTCCCAAATCATGATATTTGTAAAAAAAATTTCAATGCTTTGCTGCTGTATCTGGGTACTTCTTTAATGTTGTAATAGATCTAAGCAAAGTCTATAAGTTGTTTGTTTTGTTTTAATTTAACTACTTGAAGTTCTAGTATTTAAAATGTTAAGATTTTTCAGTTATCTGTAACCTAATAGTCAATATGGCAAACAATCCTGTAACCTTCTCTGACATTTTAAATAGATTAATTAAGACAACTGATATTGTGCAAAGTTTCATAGTCATGCCAATTTTCAATTTATAGATTTTATAGACTTGAAATGTCAATATACCATGAATAAAGACATTATTTTAGTTCACAAAGGGAAGAGTAATTGTCAATATGTGGGGTCTTAGTACATCTTTTTCATTTTGTAGAATTTTTTTTATAATTTAATCTTTAAAATAACTCAAATGCTACTATGACATTTTATGGATAAGAGAATTATATTGAGATTTCAACAATTAAGTAAAATTTTAATTTTTTTGGTGGTAAATGCCAGAATTATGGTTTAAACCCATATCTTCATGATTTCCAAGTTACCATTTTCACCACTGTACTACACACAATGTGTACTTATTTGTACAAAAAAAATTTTATAAAAACACAATGTAATTAGATAAACTTGACTTTCAGTGATGAACCATATGATAAATATACACATGAAATATATATTTTCCCCTTTTGAAAGCCATCTGTGAAGATATTATCTTTAAAAATTAATTCAAATGAAAAACTACCCTGAAAATTCTTTCAGGATTTTTTTTTTTGTTTAGAGAGAGAGAGAGAGAGAATTTTTTTTTAATATTTATTTTTTAGTTTTTTTCGGCGGACACAGCATCTTTGTTTGTATGTGTTGCTGAGGATCAAACCCGGGCCGCACTCATGCCAGGCGAGCGCGCTACTGCTTGAGCCACATCCCCAGCCCATCTTTCAGGATTTTTTTAAAATTATTTTTTAGTTATAGGTGGACACAATATCTTTATTTTTATTTTTATGTGGTGCTGAGAATTGAACCCCGTTCCTTACACGTGGTAGGCCAGCGCTCTACCTCTGAGCCACAACCCCAGCCCAGGTGTTTTTTTTTTTTAATTAATTTTTAAAAAATTTATATATGACAGCAGAATGCATTACAATTCTTATTACACATGTAGAGCACAATTTTTCATATATCTGGTAGTATACAAAGTATATTCACGCTAATTTGTGTCTTCATGCATGTACTTTGGATAATAATGTCCATCACATTCCACCATCATTTTGGGGATGATATCTTCCACAGTGGAGTTTATTTATCATATGAATGAAAGCACACAAAATAATCTTAAAAGTTCTTTTGCCTTTGGCTGTCTGGGTTTCAGATTAACACTCAATTATGATTACATCTCCTCCTTCATATTACTTGTTTCTAATTTTGTTTTTATCATTAACACCTTTAATTATATATTTTCCCAAAACTTTGTTGGGCTTAATTTAAATATTCAGAATATTAAAATCACCACATTCTTCTTCCCCAGATAACTACTACTTAAGATTTTAGTAAACCAGATGCTTGAATAAAACAGCTATTTGGTTATTATTTATAAGGTCTATTATATTTAATCAACTTTTCCTTCCTTAAAAGATTTACTCATACGATTTCAAAAGAGATTGCAGATCACTGAATTATTTGGAGATTTTTCAAAAAATAAATAAATGAAATATCCTGGTTTGGTAGATGATGCCTGGGTTTTTGTATATTTCCTTTATGCATATATTCATATTTTAAAAATCC